TATGCATAAAGTACTATATATTTATACATATTACTTAAAATTCAATATTACAAGTAATTATGCATAAGTACAACTTATTAAAGCTCGATGTTTGAATTCATATAAATAACTGCGGATAAATATAATCAAATAGAGGATGAACATCTCATTTTAAAATATAAAAATCTAAAACATAATTAGAATAATTATCGAGTTCCAACAAAATAAATAATTATTATCTTTATAAAAAAATTATATTATTAAACCAAATATAAATTACTTCGCTATAGTACATAAATTAAATTATAAAAAAATTGAATTAAAAAATTACACAAAAAATGAGGAATTTCAAATAGTTAATTTGATACTAATATCGAAATATTTTTATCAAATTTTTATGATATCTTCAAACATATATTTTATTAAAAAATAAAAACATCATCGCTTTCTCAAAATCACATAAAGCCATATTATAACATCGACTGAGATAAATAATGAAATGAAATATTAAAATCACGATGTATCTCGTTGCATTGCGCGAGTACGATTCTAGTTATATTTTAAAATTTTTATATCTAAAATGAGATATTTTATGTACCGTTAGTTAACATGAATTTAAAAATAAAGCTTTAATAAGTTGTACTTATGTACAATTTACTTGTAATTTTGAATTTTAAGTAATATCCATTAATTAACAGTACTTCATGCATAAAAAATGATTTTTAAGAGTTTTTGTCAAATATTTATAATATAATATAAATAAGGCATTTAATTAAGTTCTAGTTTTTAATAAAAAACAATTATTAACTTTAGCTTTTATGAATTTTCTATTTGTGGATTTTGTAAATAATAATAAGTATTTGGTTGAATATACTAAACAGTAATTAATTAAAATGAAAATAAAAAAAAACTGTCTGATTTTATAAAATATAATAAGTCAGTTCTTCTAAAAGTCTAAATTTTCGTTTCAGATTAAACCAATGAACGATTTTATTAGATCAAAGTTTTGAAAGACCACTAAAAACAATAATATTATTTATACAACCAAATTAGCTTATATATAATTAACGTTTTAATTTTAATAAATTATTTCAAAAAACGTTAATGTTTTTATTTTTAAATAAAATATAAATTTGAAAATATAAAA